TCCATTACGACGTGCGTGGTCGCCTATCGGGAAAATCGAGGCATTGCAAACGATATCGATGCGTGTAGTCCTCCTCCACCAACTATCAAAACCAACGCGTTGTCTTATCCCCCTGCTACTTTGCATCGATCGTCCTCCAGAATGGACGACAAGATATTCAAGCGTCCGCTTTTATAGCTTCCTCCTTTGCGGCGAGATCGATTCTCCGCTATAGAACAACGTTTCCAAACTTGCTCGGTAACTTTGGAACTTTTGGCGTGCATCCTCTTTGCTTATTACCATGAGCCGACTATAAATATTAAGGATAGCTGCAGACATTTGATACAAATGGAATACTTTTCATACTGTCTTTGTTTTCTAGTTAGTAGTCACGATTCCATGTAAAGTGCAATTTGTTGCAGTTCTCCGTAAAACGTAACGACAGGGGAGGAACAATGTTGCCAAATTTGTCTTTTTATTCGATCTGTCCGGGATTTTGGAAGTGTTGAGATGAAAATTAAGATGGAGCATAAAGAGTTGGTTATGGCTGAAACGTTCAATTATTGTTATTTATTGTACCCAAGGAAGCTTGGAATCGACCAACTCTCTGAAGAAATGGTACGTGGTGCTTTGTTACAGACGATCTGGACGACGAGAACGGGGAGGAGCGGCTGCATCGGACACGGAGCCCGTCAACCGGCGACGAGGGACACGACGACCTAGGCGAGCAAGACGACTGCCCGGACGCGGACGGCGAAGGGGAATCGACGAATTCGACGAGCCTGCACGGTGGTAGCGGCGGCGGTGGCACAGGGAATGGCGGCAACGGCGGTGGCGGCGGCGGCGGCGGTGGCGGACAAAACAGCGTGCAGGTTGGCGTGGACGGTCGCGACTCGAGTAGCATGAAACGAAAGAAGAAGACGCGGACAGTGTTCTCGCGGTCGCAGGTGTTCCAATTGGAGAGCACGTTCGACATGAAACGCTACCTTTCGTCGTCCGAGCGCGCCGGTCTCGCCGCGTCGTTGCGGCTGACCGAGACTCAGGTGAAGATCTGGTTCCAGAACCGTCGTAACAAGTGGAAGAGGCAGCTCGCCGCGGAACTCGAGGCGGCAAACATGGCGCACGCGGCACAGAGGCTGGTCAGGGTGCCGATACTGTATCACGAGGCGTCCGCTGGAACCGGAACGTCCGGCAGTGTCTCGGTGTCGGTGGCTGCGCCGTCGGCGGCCGCTGCGCCAGCGTCGGTCGCCACGTCGGCGCTCTCGCACTCGGTCGGCGTCGGAGTCGGCGTCGGTGTCGGCGTCGGCACCTCCTGCCCCCCTACCACCGCCCAGCCGATCTTCTACTCCCATCACCATCAGCACCACCATCACCATCCGGCTCACGTGCAGGCGCACACTCTCCTCCCCCACCAGGTACACCCACAACCGCCGCCTCCCCCGCCGCCCCCGCCTAACGGCCAACCACCCCAATCCTCCTCGCAATAACACCGTCCGGCTCACGAGACCGTCGGCCCGCTGCAACCAACCACCGCCGACGCCGCGATCTCCCTCTCGCGACTCGCCTCGATCGCCTTGTCCGGATAAACCGTTTCCCTTCGTTCTGTCGCCGTTTCGATCACCTTGGATCGTCGATCGTGCCTGCCTGCCTGCCTGCCTGCCTGCTTGCCTGCCTGCCTGCCTGCTTGCCTCCCTCACCATCAGCCAGGTAGCCTCTTCTTTACGACGTTTCGCTTCTCCCTATTTTCGGATTAACTTCGGCGTATTTCGGAGAACCTGTTTACGAAAGTTTGTTAGAAAGTCCGGTGGGCTGCTGGTGTTCGACTCTTTGCGGCCCGACGTTTTATCGGCGATCCCCTTTTTGCTTTTCGCAAATTGTACGGTTACTTCCTGAGGCATTCTCCTGCAATTGTAAATATTTACCGTTTCATTTACTGTTAATTATTTGCAGATCTACATTGCTCCACGTAGTTAAAATATTCCATGTAATATTCTGATTGAAGAAAAGTTTTATCATTCGTTTCTTCATTTCTCCTCATTGTTACGTAATATCATCTTACGTAATGTAGACAAAAAGCACGAAAACCATCTGAAATACCTGAACTTGAAGTGTTTCTTGAAGAATGGAAAAACTGCTAGACAGTTTTAACTAACAAAGGAAATTCGGCAACTGGAGAAAGGATCCAAAGATTGAGACATTCGATGATCCAAATATCCAAATATCTGGATATATGTATTGTATCCAAATTTTCAACTAACACAATAGTACGATCTCTCCTCGTCAAAGCGAGATTTCCCATAAACGTCATCAGAAGTATTTATACTCCCGAGAAAGAGAAGTCAAAATCCTCTGACGTATATATATGTCGAAATCCCATCTTGATTTTTTTGTAAATATTTAGTCGAGAAATCTCTTTGACAGAGTACTCTCATCTCTGAAATCGTTTTTCGCATTGAGAAAGTATCCAAGTGCAAAGTCTCGAATATCTTTGAATTTCTCAGTTAGCTAGACATCCCTCACGAAGAGTAGCCTTTCCATTATGCAAGAGAGTATCTTTTAAATCTTAACCGATATAACGTACGACCACAAAGAGTTAACGCCAA